TCTAAAGCATTTGTGTCTACACTTAGTCTATCTGAAGTGTTACTTTAACAGCTGTAGTTTGAATGTCAAAGAAGTTAATTTCCAGGTTGCTGTTGACAAACTTATTGTTCATTTTTAATCAATTTTTTTTTCAATACAATACAGTAAGTTTTTATTTATTATTGAGTTGATGTGTATGCCTTTGGCAAAGCTAACATCTGCCTTATCTTCTTGCCTTTTTAAAATCAAAGGTGATGATACCTGAGACAGAAATACAGTACGAGATGTGTACATCAACATGTGCCTCCTACAAATAAAGACTTGTTGTTGTTTTTTTGATACGCTGTGTTCTGTGATTCAATTCGTAATACCAGCTCCGTAGTCATGTGGTTTTAGCAGCATTTTTTTTTTGGCAGGATTTTTTTTCTTCGCCCTCTCGCATTAGTTTTGGGGTCTCCAGAGGATGTCATCCATAAAATTAAATCAGTGTGGCCTAACTATTCTTGAATTGTCTGTGGCCTTAGGCTAGAAAATAAATCTAGTGTGGTTTTCTGTTCTTGTACACTTTCATTTTTTAACGTTGTTGAAGCTTGTATAATAGCTTTTACATAAAGTATTACACATCTCTAGTTTATTCCTAATATTATACATGTGTGTATGTATCATTTTATACTATGTACACTCATAGTAGCTGCGAAAGAGTATAACTAGTCTTTTCCTCTACTTATTGTAGATCAGACAGGTAGCGGTGCTAGAATGAAGGCATTACATGTTGCATTGGATCTGCTTTTACAAAGTGAAGGAGCAGTTGAAAGTATCAATAGAACTTTAACAGAGGAAGCTACTGATACATTGAATTCATCAGATGCAATAGCACAGAGTGGCAGGCATGAATTATTAGACAGCGGATATTGTAAAATGGAAGAGTCTGGAGGAGCTGATGCTGGAGTTTGTGAATTCGTAAAACAGGGAGATGCTCCAACTACAGTTGATAAAAGTAAAATGAAGGAGCTAGAAGAACAAGAGAAATTGCTCTCTATTTTACTCTCACGGATACAGTTTGTGCTCTTGAACTTAGTCAAATTACATTCCAACAAGAAAAGGTAAGAACATATCTGTTTTTTTTCAATGTCCATGTGCGTGTATATTTGGCTTCATATGCTATGAACAGCATTTGACAACATGTCGTGCAATGTAATATACAAACTGCATTTCAATATATGGAATTTTTCCTGATTTTGATCAGAAAAAATACATTGAAGAAGGAAGTGTAACTAGACCATTTATTTAAGGATTGACAGTACTGCTAAACATTGTAGCCATTTCCTTCACTCCCATTAATGGCACCTGGTAGAAAACAACCCCCCCCGACATACCTTGTATGTACAATCTCATGTACACAAATATATCAGTATATGTGTCATCATGTATACAATACTTTGTCACCTTTCTGTCAAATGCAATAATTTTGTTGTAGTGATTGTTTCTAGTGTTTTGTTATTGTCTATTAGACATGGACATTTATATTTTCAAAATTTTTACAAATTGAATAAAAGTTGTCATTTTCTTCCACTGTGTCAACACATTTTAGGGTGGCATTATAAGGTATTAAAAATGCAAAAAAGCAGAGCAATGTGCGCCTATGCATTTATTAAATCAATAGGAAAAAAGGCACTCCGAACCTGTTTTTGGCTGTAAAGTGTTAAATCATAGTTTATCTTTCGTCTTAATGTAACAGGAGTGGAACTTTGTAAAATTTGAGTTTCTCGCTTGTATTTGGTGATAGATACAAAAATTCAATTACCACCATTTGCACCTGTGAATACCCATGAATATATATCCCTTGGCTTACAACGTTTTTTCTGCTTGATAATATTCAAGAACATTTAGAACTTAATTTCAAGAGTCTCTGTGAACCTACCATATCCAATCTTGGGGTTACCTTATTTGTGGTAATGTGTCTTGCTACATTAAACAAGTCTACATTATATACATTTTTGCAACACCTGTATGATGTTTTTTAATTAATGTTTTGTTTTTTTCAGTGACCATGATAAGTTATCTAGATACAAGAAGATGTACGGCATTGCATTGATGTGTGAAAAGCTTTACAAAGGCAATTTAGTTAAGGCACTTCAATATGCACTGAAAGAAGTCAAATTATTACAAACTCCTCCATGAGATTCAGTTAATAATTTAGTTTGATGTATGATATGTACAACAAACTTTGCATGAAAGGTACAATTGTACGATCCGCGGTAAATTTTTATTTTTTGAAAATTCATCAAAATTCATTTATATTACATACAGTGTACAGAAAGTTACAAAATTAAGATGATGGTATTTGTTTGCAGGTGATTGTTAATAGTTCAACCACCGTACTTTCAGAAACCCTAATAAGGTATAGGGTATATCATGTCAAAAACATAGTGAAAATATTTATTCTCTTGAGTGTGACACATCAATTAAAACACTTTCAGTAATGCTTACTTTATGACTTTTCCAGTCTTAGCTATGAAGTAAAACTGTTTAGCTAGTATGGTCTGTAAGTATATCATTGACAACAAAAATAATCATATCAGTTATCATGATGATTTGTGTGTGTGCTTGCATATTACAATACATCCTGTAATGTAATTAACCAATTAATGCTGGTGGTGTTGGGAACAAGATAGTAGAGAAAGACGTTTGAATGTAATAGTAATTTCATGCAAAATCAATTGGTATAATGAACCTGTTGATAGACACTTAAAAACTGTTGTGTTTGTTATGGTGGGATTATTGAGTGTATGAAAGTACACCAATATATAACCACATCAGCGATTGGGGATTCGAAACTAGTACTATGGTGTCATTCCTCCTCTATAGACCATTTTCCGATCACTGCAAGATCTCGCATTATGCGTGAAATCGAACGGTGAAACAGGACAAACAAAGGTCATTCCATTGCAGTGACGTATCGCATCGCATCGCGCGAGATTCGAGAAAAGCCAAAATATTTTTGGGATATTTCCGCGCTTTTTGATATAATAAGGATATATAATCGCAATATTCTCTTCTGAGAGATCGGCATTTCGACATTGAGCGACAAAAACAGAAATTCAAGATTAGAATCAAATTAGATTATTTTGCGGAAGGCTTTCAGTCCGCGCCTTTCACGCGAGATCTCGCAGTGAACGGAAAAATTATCTGTTCTGCAATCTTTTTTTTCTAAATGTTTTATGATTGTTTGAATTGCAAGCATTAAACTTTTTTTCTATTCATTCAAATAAAATTAAGTTTTTACATGTTAAAACAAATTAAAAATAAGAAAAAAACAATAATTATTATATCATTATAATCATTATTATATTATACTGGTAGTAAAAGATGCGTTTTGTGTGGTCTCGTACTGTCATCATCATATAACTCTCGTGATTCGAATATTGTTGTCAAAAATAGCCAAATCCAAACAAAAATAGCAAGATATTTGAGCATAATATTTGAGCATAATATTGTTGATTGCTGCCTTAACAGATGTATTTTATATATAAAGAGAGCAGCAATTAATGTATCCAAAGGTAGTATAAGTCCATCTGTACCGGTAATATCGTCATTGAGTACAGATTTTTTTTATTAGTTTTTATATGCCTCGTACAATACCTCGTACTTTCTTTTTCGCTAGATACTCAATTCTTTCATCACAAAGTAACCTGTTTCTTTCGGGACTGATCTTGCAGTTTTCATAATTGCTTGTCACTCCTCCCGGAAAATGAATGATATATATAGAACATATTCTGGAATCAATTTTACAAATATCATTACAAAGATGTGTGGTGGTACATTGTTCGAAAAAGGAGAGATTCTAGTTTTACTTTGCCACAAACCTATATGCGTTGTGAGATTTTAATGCGAAGTGAAGTGATGTATGTAGTAGACTGAAATGATTTGAGTAATAATGTTACAATCAAATCAAACATAATATTTAGGTATGTTGAAACAAGACAAGCAGTTCTTGCTTATATGAAATGTGTTCTGTATTTTTAGGACCGATAGTTTATCACATTTACTTAACATTTAACAGATTGACTGTGCTCTAATTAACAACCAGTAAAACAATAATGTCAAATGTACGATCTGGTTTTCCAATTTCCCGTTAAGATATGTTAAGGTAACTGAACACTTTATCAA